TCCTTCAGATTGTGTAGATTGAAGTCCCGGAGATGAGAATGTGGCTGCACCTAGTGCGTGTTACCCTGTTCTGGCCACGGATCAAGCGAGAATCAATTTCCGGAGTGGACGTCGGGGGACGGTAAACGACACTGGGAGACATGCGTCGTTGTGTTTTAGTCGGAGACGGCACCAGATTGAGTCGGTTACGTGTGTTTCCAGATCATCAACTATTGTATATTGCAGATCGCTACGGTAGTCGAGAAAGACCCCACCTCCTCTGCTGGGGCGGTCGTTTCGGATGAGTGACATTCCGGCTATCTCAACCTCAGCATCAGTCACCTCTTGATGTAACCAAGTTTCGGTAATAGAAGTTAGGTCTCAAGCATTTGCAACCTGACGTATTCGAAGTTTGGTAATTTTACTGAGGAGCCCTTGGGCGTTAGTGTACATACATGAAAGTTTCTCAGAGTTAAGCAATGTTGCGGTGGTTCTACAACTCATATACGAAGTTTCGCCGACCAATGAATGGCCGGCTACTAATAGTTTTTTCGATGCCTACTTGGTGAAGGGTTTAACGTCTTATTCATCGTCCGTGTTGCTAGTCCCGTGTCTAACCTTCGACTTACGTTGTAAGATGTCTGGTCAACATCATCTTCTACAGGTTGTATGAGCTCATTCGACACACTACTGATGCATTTTTCTTTCATAGATTCTAACGCGTTTGGTTCTTTGAGTGACATGTCATCTCTAGGATGCATGTCGCTGATTGCCATCAGCCGAATCTCAAATGGTAGCCTGCAACGGAAAATGTAACAGTTTTTTAGCATCCGTGCTACTATTTGTTTTGACTGAAGGACCACCTTCAACGCTATCGGGTCACTTCCTTTGTAATTCGGTGTGGTACGCAGTCGTGACATGGATTTCTCTAACACACCATCCAAGCAGAATGTTTCACGAATATAACACCACTGTTCTATATTATGGGTTGTTACTTCATGCTCATCACATGCTTCAGTTTCAGGAACGACGTGAAGAAGTATGTTTCTGGTTGAAGTTTCCTTCCGGTAGTCTTCTTAGTTGCGGTTAACTCGATAACGCTCGCCCCCTGGGATGTCTTGGAAGATACGGTTGGAGCAGTGTTCATTGCTGAGACTACCTGTCGACAGTAGTATTGATACTACTTCAGTGATGGAGTTCAGCACAACACGCAGAAGTCCTGGTTCTCCGAAATGTTTGGAGTTGGGGTGTCGTGTAGTACGCACTACGTGTACAGCTTTCAGTACAACTCCGATTAAATTACTAATAATGTCCCACTGTTTGAGGTCATCCAACTGCTTGCCTCTTATCGATGTCGGCTTTGATTCTGGGATATTGGAGCACAGTACGCTCAGTACAGGTAGTGGTTCCTTTACACCTTTCGAGATGTCGCCGTTAGTGATTGAAGTACTCAGAGATCTGCCGCAGGAAACCGGTGGTGCTTGCACTAATAAAACTCCGCTACGCTCCTCAGTTTCAGATCCAGTTGTGGGTGATGTTAATTTCAAATGACGGCTCTTCTTGGAGGCAACCGTAACCCAACTTTTACTAGTACCGGCTTGCTCTTTTTCTACACACTCCGTCGGGAGTTTGGAAGTAGCCTTAAGTGTAGTTACTCCGATCGAACTGGGAACCGCTTTAGTCAAATGTGAGCTACGTATGGTATTGGGACAGCTGTTGATGTTCTGGACTCTAGGTGTCGTGTTGCTTACGGTGTTATTAGCATTTCTTCGCGGGTTAGGAGCAGCAACCAAGGGGGAGGATTGGGTTGGACAGTCCGCTATGCTTACCCCAACCGTAGTGATTTTGGTGGTCACCATTTCATCAAAATTGGCTAGTAGCTGGTCATAATTCTGAGAAAATAGGAGCACACATTTTATCAGTGGGATCGATGTGCATTCCACACGGAACCATAGCGAGTCTGGTTTGTTTAATAACTTGGCCTGACTAGGTTTAACTCTGAGGCCTCTCGCATGGAAGAACTTGCAACAGTTACGGCAAAAAATGCCCCCTTAACAAGTTTGGAATATGATCCACATAGGTCTTTAGTCGGTGGCGCACTGGGCATCACGCTCGTTGAGCAAATGTTCCGAACCATTTGAAGGACACCCTCTGTGGTAAAATGTCGTTCTGTTATTGGCGTCGTCGTTAAGGTCACAGTGTTCACATTGCAGTTGCGTGCTTGTAGACTGTGCTGTTTGGCGCGCCAGTCGAATGTGTCAGCTTGAACGTGGGGCAGAATACACGAAGGTGTGATTGAGAATTTTCGTGGTTTTGCCTATGGATCGCGCTGGGTGAATTTGCTTTGAGACCTGTAGCTGCACGAAGGAATGTTGGATTTGAACGAGTGACAGTTCGTTCGAAAGCCATTGAAATGGTCTATCGAGTGAGACCAAACTATGTCCCCGATGGTTGGAGTTAGGCGACTTTTGTCGTTTGGATATCTACGAAACACTGCGCGGAATTTAGAAATCAGGGTAAATGTAGGATGCACTGGAGTATACTCGGGAAACTGGTATCACGAAGTAGAGCTCGTAAAAACACGACGAATAAGAAAGGATCCAAAGGTGTGCGACAAAATGTCGCTAAAACACAGTTAAAAAACCACAGAAAAACACGCCTAACATAGCCACCAGAATGTAGGCAGTAGTGAACGACAGCATTACTGCCGAAATCGACCAAAAAGATGTTACCGGATAATTCAAATTACAAAGGATACAGAATTATACAATTGCTGACAAAAAATTACCATATATGACGCAGAAAACCTAAACAAACTGGCCTAGTAGCAGAGCGATGACGATGATGACGCTAATGTTGATGATGAGGATGATGATATAGATGACGACATTGTAGATGTTAGTGATGATATTGATGATAATCACTGATTACTGGTTGGAAGCACCAGGAAGAGGTGCTTCTATGTAGGTGTATCTAATATCACTCAGGGACAAAGACCCGTGATGGTGCGGTGCTTTCGAGATGGGCAGTGTTTGCCCAGGAAGTTCTTAAATTCCGACACCGACTTGCCTCAACTACGTGCTGCGGCAGGTTGTTCCATGCATTCAACACTCTGCGTTCGAAATAGAGTTAGTGAGCGACCCACTTTAAATCTGGCACGACAAGCTTGTACCGGTGTCCTGGTGTGCTGGTTGGTGTGCGCAGGTGAAGAAGCGGCCACAACATGGGTAATCACCCAGATGTAATATCCAGTGCGCCATGATGAGGTCAACCCGCAGTCGACGATAAGCTACGGTTTAAAACCCTAGCTGCTTACCGTAATCTTTGTACGGCACACCTCGTAAAATGGGAATCGGCCTGATGGCTACATGCTGCACTCGCTCAACCTTATCTACCTAGCCTCGGGTGATAGGACAATACGCGGGAGAGCCATACTCCAGCAGAGCCATACTCTGCAGACCACGGGGAGAGGTGGTTGAAGTACAGCTGAAGCAGGTCAAATTCATTGTATGTAAATATTCCAAGGTGATTCAAGTAAATGAGGCGCATCTTTTAGATGGATCAGAACCAAAATCGGCCCCAGTACAGTGCCTTGGGGCACGCCAATGCTCGATGGATACCAGTCGGTCAAATGGTTGTCGACCTGGATCGCCCAATTTCAAACAACAAGGAAATTATTGATCCATGGATGCTGCGAGCCGCCAACACCACACACCCTCAGCATATCGAGGAGCACTGCATGATTCACCTTATCAAAAGCCTTACTGTAGTCAATGTAAATGACGTAGATTTACTTGCCTTGGTTCAGCGCTTGTAACCATTCTTGCCTCGTCAACAGTAGGTTGGTGATGCATGAGCGACCTGTCCCAAAACCATACTGTGCAGGAGTAAAGTGGATTTTCTACTGGAAAAACTGCACAAAGCTCTTTTTCACCATCTTCTCCAGCGTCTTTGCCAAAACAGCGGTCAGGCGGATTGGCCAGTAGTTATCCACTTTGCATGGGTTAGCACCTTTCGGTATTGGCTTTGCGACTGAGCATTTTTAGTCGCCCTGTAATATTCCAGTGGATAGTGACCTGTTGAACATCTCAGTAACAGAAAGCGAGATGATGACCGATAGGAACTTGAAGATCAGTAAGTAGGTTCCTTCTCGTTCGGCAGGCATCATCCCGCCAAGGCTTGCCTGAAGCTTACGTACATATTCAATACTGCAATCCAGCTGGCTATTTCTTCGAAAGCGGTACTCATGGAACCGGTTACGTACACTTAGTCAATTACAAATACGGAAGTGAAGCGCGCCGCCAACACGCACGCACCTGTCTGTGCTCGAGTTTAGGGACTGTCCAACTGAGCCTTCCAACACGGGTATATGGCCTGCGGGCCTCAGGCACCGCTTCAAGTTGGCAGAGATCCTCTTGGGAGCAGTTTTTACGGCGCATGCAAGCTGCTCTTCGAAGCCTCTACGCTTTTTGTTTTCGTGTTGTTGCAGAGATTTCGCTGTACTTTCTACGTCTTGTTATGCTCATTAGAGTCAGACAACATGAATTTGTTCCATAGTCTGCGTCGTCGTTGGGCCAGTTTGCTGTACTTCTTGCCGAAGCAATGTGGATTGACTGACCACACTTTTCGCTACTTGAGGTGTACCAATCGGACGCACAATGATTGCACTCCCACTTTATTGTTAGTCCTACCGGTTGCAACAGACGAATCTTCTGGTAACGACAAGTCCATCTAGCTCTATGCTTGAGTAAGGCTATTAAATTCCGCGTTTCAATAGTTGAAGGCTAGCTCCAGCGGGGTGAATACGGCAGCGGTAGTTCCAAGCTGGCTATGGTCATCAAGAGGTCACTCGCTCCCAGAGGCTCCACGACTTGAAGGTCATATACACATTGTTCACAGCTGGTCAAAATCAGGTCTAAGCATGATGGAGTTGCGCGCGTAGTTATGCGCTTCGGTAGGTTGATGTGCTGTGTGGCTCCGGTTTCAAATAGCAACTCCATAAACTTTCTCTCGACTTCACA